TGGAACAAAGGGTAAGCCGGCAACATCACTTTGGCTGTGGCGTAAGGTGAAGCCCGACGGTGATCTTTACTCCAAGTTGCTCATTGTAGGAGTTTCGGAGCAGTCCAGGCCATGCCACGACATATCATAGCTTGGGCGAGAGCTCAGCCTCATTTTGTCGATGACACTACCCGACCGTTGTGTGGGAGTTGCTGCGCGCCTTTCAACATTCGGCCATCTATACATAGTCTGGCTGATACCATCTGTGTCGACGTTGAGTTTCGGTACCACCCAGCCAAATGGCGGCATCATCATCATCGCATAAAGGGCATGGTGGTGTTTATCTCCATTGTCTTGGTTGGCTTCCCTAGCATTATCGAGGCAAGGCTGACCTGAAATTTTGGTTAAGAGACTCGACTTTCCAGGCTACGAGTGCCTTTCATCCACTGGTAACAGCGTCTATTGAATTCGCGAGGCAAGAAAACTGACGAGTTTACAACGTTTGGAACGACTTGGAAACATACTGTGGTCTCAGTTCAAATGATTATGGATGAAGACAGTCGTTGGCATGCCTGTTAAAACCACAGGGTAGGCGACACTGATACACCAAACAAGGATTGAAAGACATCCCTGGATTTCTGGGTTTCTGACCCATTCGGACGGGCCAACTCCCAACCCGACTTTGGGCCGTCATGATGCCCCTCAATTCTTGATTTCGCAAAATGAGTTTCACGCTCACATTTTGTTTAATGTAGAGGGGACAGTAAAACAAAGTGTGGAGGGCAGCTGAATATTCTATTCACCTATAGTCTGAGCACCGTGCTCCAAGTTGGACGCACTAAATCGATTAACCAATGTGAGGAGGGAAGGCCAGAAGTCGCATTGGTGAGAGTGTAAAGTTAGCTTCAGTCAACATCTTTGCTGGTTATTTGTTTCCTCCAGAAGGGAGGAGAGATCCAAGGGCAAAAGAGGAGTGGAAAAGGCAACACCCGAGGGCCCTGGCTTGATAAGGGGGTCCAGGATCTAAAACCAGAAGAGGGAGAGGGAGAAGAGGCCTATCAGTATCAGCCATTGGCCTCCAATAGGTCCATGCAAGCACTTTACGCGCGGCGTTAGTCGAGACGGGGAGACTGACGCCATGACCCGAGCCAATTCTTTCCCCTCCCTCGCATTGGCTTGTCTTGCTCTTGCCTTGCTCTATCCGTATTCTACTCAAGTATGTTTCTGTTCTGTTTTGGTTCGTATGAGTGATCTGATCTGATCTGATCGCTATTTGAATATCACGCCCCCTTGATTATGTTGTCCTGTGGCGGCGTCAGCATTTGCTTCGCTTTGTTTGCGGGGCTCATTCGCTCGATCCTCGTGCAGTCAATTTGTGAGCGGAGTCGGAGCCTGGCTGAGCTGATCTGATCTGAGTTGAGCCGAACCGTACCTACTGGACAGGGCTCAGCTGTGGTTGCAGTCGTGGTTGTGGTCAGGGCTACGGCGGATGGGGGTTTTCCCTTTGTTGTCTCGTGTGTAAGTTTCAAGAGCAAGAGGCGTATGCAGCACACGACTCGCAGCATTGGCATGTGTCCATTTCAAGGCCTCCTACCTCTAGGCTCAGTGATTGGACAAACTGCCGCTCTTTTCATTGGGCTTGTTCCCGCAGATTGCACATTCACGTCTAGAACCTACCTAGCCAGCGATACCACTTCTTAAACCCATGCTTTCACAGACCCTGCAACTGATGCTATAATGTTTCGTTGCCTGCTTCGCCTTCTCCATTCGTCTCAAAGTTCTCACCGGCTTCGAATTTGGTACTTCTGTGTGCATATTGTCCTAGAGTAAGCCAAGTGGCGTTCCGAGATTGATGATGGCGGTGTTGAGGCTTGGAAAGTTCGAAACCTCGATAAGCGCCATCTTATATCCGCCGGTCATACATTTCAGATGGGAAAAGAGTGAGAACGATCCATTCATGAAGTCTGTTTGGATCTTTGGGTTGCCAAGATATCACGATTTAGGCCATGGGCTTTCCTGGGAGGTCTCCCGCTTCGACACCCGGCAACAAGACAGGCACCAGCCCGGAAAATATGAGAGAAGGGGCCTTTCGGTCAGATGAGGTCGTCAAATGAAGGCAACGTCAAGAAGTCATCAGTCGAGTCATGTATCATTGAGGCTTCAGGGCTTGTTGCTTCTGATCGATGCTGCGATGAAGGTGTTGCATCGTCGTACTTCATGATGCTCTCATCTCTGTAAGAGCATTTGAGACATAAAGATATTTGCAAGAGAATGACTCATTTATTGAATGAGGTTCAGACCGTAGTTGATGTCTTCATGGAGGTGTATCATCAAGCCTGATGTTGCAAGACCATCCACTCTGGCTTTAATACCACTCAAGCCAACCAATACTTGGAGACTTCGCACAACGATCAGATGAACTCAAATTGGTATAGAATTGAGATTGAATTGGCGACAATTGGTTTTGTGTCATTCTCACATTCTCATGATGCGCAATCCAATATAGTACATACATACACAAGGTATTTGCAAGAAGATTACAGCAGAAGCTATGAAACGCAGAGAATTTGTTAGGTCCGACAAAGAAGACCTCAACATAACGATTCCCATTGTTATCGTGAAGTTGACGAGCAAGTAGAGTTGGTGGTGACACCATTCTCTGGCCAACCTCCAAAGCTGAGCCTCCACTGTCAACAGCCGCGTGAAAACGAGCTGGATTAATACAAGAGAGGGGCATGAAAAGAGAAGCATGCTAGAATTCAAGATCATGCGGCACAGGCTGATGGTGAAGTGGGATACGTAATGTTGTGGATTGACCTCGTTATTAACGAAACTCGATGATAGTGAATGAGTCAAAACAATGAAAAGAAAACAAGAAAACATTCAGGATACTTAAACATATGCGAAGGAAAGTCCTACTGTGATAAAGGAAACTGTAAAGTCAACCGCCATGTCGAACCTTCGCCGAGAATGTTTCCCCTTTGAGTTAATACCAAGACTCAGGACTGATCATCCGCTGAACCCGTTTATGACCCTGAGGAAGTATCTAATGGCTATATAATTATAAAGATAGATTGAAAGAATTGATGAGATGGATGGACTGTAGATGGACTGCCACGACCGTCGTGGCAGTTACAACTTCATGTCCACACTCCAAGTTGGTATCATAAGACAAACCTACACCATAGACAATGTCATTGAATGAAATTGAGCTAATTTAAGAATGCGTCTATCATATAGATAGTAACTAGTTAAGCCGCAAGAAGTGATGTTGTTGCTCTTTGTCTCATGGCCGGCATACAACTTGTTTGAGGCCTGGGTCGGAACTTTTCATATTAGCAACCTGGGAGGAGAGTAATTCACTGCTGGCTAACTCTTTCCAATGCGTAGCGAGGAGGCAATCGTAACTTTGATCCATTTCATCCGGTTCGATAAGGCGTTTCGTAAGTCCTAGTCCTCATGCTGACGGTAGGTATCGGCAGATGCAGACTCTGTCGAACCACAATACCTGATTTTGGCTATGTGTATGTTGAGACAGTCAAAACGGCCAGGTTCTCGATGAGGAGATTGTCGTAAGGTGACAAGGATATGTTTATCAAAGGTTCAATATAAAGACGTCCTATAAGCTCGTAAGGCGGATGCTGATACAACCAGAGTCCTTAACATGGGCAATATCGATATTTGAAACATACCAGGAACCTTTTGCCCGACTCTGATTAAAGTCTCGATGCTGATACCTAGCAAGGCATAACATGCTTCACTTACTCGACTCGTCTCAGGTGAGAGTCAGTCATGATATTGCAAGGCAATTTGCACAATGAATACAGCAAAGAGCACGCTCCATCTCTAACAATATGTCAGAGACAAAGCGACCGGGCGACACTAGCACATTTCAACGCCTTATGTAGGAACCCGCGTTGATGTTTTATGTTAGCCCTGCAAGTGCAGCCTCACACAGACATCTCACCCAAAGTGCAAATTGATAAGACGTCAATCTGCTTGAGTAAGACGAGAGAGATATTGCCAACTCATCAGAATCTGCATATTACCGCTCAGTCTCAGTCTCAGTCTCAGTCTCACGAATAAAATTTCGCCCAGTTAATTACTAGCCAGCAAATGACAAGGCTGGATGAATGCCACAAAGGCGTGAGTGAGTGGTCGGATCCCCGGCATTGGGGGACCCCCTTGTAGTGTGACGTCGTGCGCATAAACAGGGGGGTGTTTACGATGCGATGTAGTGAAGGACTCTATCGTATTTGGGGGGACTAATAGGATGTAATCCTCAAATCCTGCTTCGCCCCGTTTGAGAGACGGCAGATAGAAAGAGACATGCGTGTTATACTGCTCAAGAGGCTTATACTCTTGGTCTGGACCTGATTGATTCTCTCGTATCATTCAGTCTTTGATTCATCAATGTCTCCCCGCATGTTTATCCCTCAAGAGATCGACAATATCGTCTAAGCCACTGACCTGTAACAAACTTTTCAGTCTGGGGTATTTCACTCATACATAAATCGACAGTGTCTCCCTCGGATGATCTCCATTCCCCAAGAGCAACTGTCAATTCCTTCATCGTGATAGCTCCGTCGTGTTTCCGTCTTGTACGTCATAACCTACCTAGTCCTCCTCAACAAGGACATCCCTGTTAGGTCTTTCTAAGCACCGAGAGCACAGCCAAAAATACCAGACGTCACTCTGGGCTTCCAGGTGCTTGGAAGACAAATTTCAGTTAGTTTCTTGTTGAGTCGTGGGTCCTGCTTCAGGTACAATCCTTACAGAAACCCCATCTGGCCCGACTGAGGACTGACTCTCTCACGTTAGAACGCTGGTCCTTGTCCAACAGAATTTTTGCTTCAGATCACCAAGTAACAACAAATAAAACCCAATCGGGCACAAATCTCCCGTTGGAATTGTGCCCTTACCGAGACTTATATAACACTTGAAACTTCAATCAAGTGAGACATACATACATACGCATACAGATCACTACCGACATTAGCATTAGCGAGTCTTGGCCCATCATGCAGAACTCTCCTCGCTCTGGATCCTTTGAACGTCGCAGTTCTGTCCATGATAGAATGCCAAGCCCGTCTCCCATCCGATCGCCATTGTCCAGGAGCCGTACACCTTCGCCTTCTCGTGGTCGATCACAAGCACCTCATGGAAGACCTTCGTCTCGCATGGTGTCGCGCTCAAAATCACGAGGAAGACTTTCTTCACGATCAAGCTCACGCTCACCATCCCGTCGCTCTAAGCGCAGCGATAACCATCATCATCATGGGCTCTTCAAGACTACGGCTGGTCTTCTAGCTGGTATTGGTGTCGCTGCTGTTGTAGCCCACAAGGTCTGGCCCAAGGGTGTCTTGTACGGTGATCATGAAGACTGGGAGCATTCTTCTAAGCATCACCGTTCAGACCGCCCTCACCATCGTCGTCGCCGCTCACTCGAAAATGGCGATCGCGTAGTCGAGCGAACAACTCGACGTCGTGGTGATGCTGTCTACGAAGAAGTTGATCGTAGACGACCTCAGAACTATGAGCGTATGCCGCGGCCTGACTATGAGAGGATGAGGCAGCCTGCTGAGCGTTTGCCATATCCACCTGATGATCGCTATGTTGAGGCCCAACCGATCTATGCTGAGCGGAGGAGGACCGTTGTTCAGCCTGCTCCTATGCACCCCGAGTGGTGACATATCCTGAGAAGGGAATGAGTTTTCATATATTTATTCTGCTATTATTTATGTCTATTGGGTGGTTTGTATTGACTTGGATTGAAATGCAACGGAGTTGGTTGAGTGTATATTTGACAATTCTTACGACTTATATGCTACACGAGACAATGATACGGCGTTCAGATATTCATAGGACTGATTTATACATATCTATTTTCAAAATGTGTTCTATAATATGCGTGACTGAGACTATGCTATGCAACCCTGTCCGATAAACTCCTCAAAAACCAAGCTTGCCGGCCTATATGCGTATGTATCGTGATCCTTCCAAGTCAATTCGCGTTTAGTATATACCGCATAACCCACCCAGGGTTCTGCCCTCGTTAAATGCTTGATGCTGGTGAGGACGGCGGTGAGCTATTGGGCAGACTCCCTGTCGTCTCCTTTGGCGCTGTTCTCTCCACAGCTTCCTGCCAGCCCTTGCCGGCAGTACGTCTCACAAAGACCGTGTTGAGGGTGTCTCCAAAGTACCTTTCACGACGCGTAGTTCTCCTCTCGCCCCCTTCCATAGCTGAGTATGCACTGCGAGTGGTGCGCATCCTCTTCCGCTTGCCCCCCTCGCTCAGGAGGTTACTCAACTTAAGCCGCTCTTGCATCAGGGTGTTGTCAAACTCCACGATCCCGCGTACCCATGGCGCCACGTCTAGGACGATGAGTTTTGTGGTCCTGTCAAACACTGATGGGTCAAGATAACTGGCCACTGAAATCTTCTCATTTGTGGCAATAGGGTCGAATGCATACGCCAGGTCCATGCGGCTCAGCGGCGCGGTTTGAGGCTCAAATGAGTGGTCAAGGGACTCAACCACTCGCTTCTCTGTGAGTGGTTCGAGGAGAGACTTGGGAGTACTGAGTGTAGATGAAGCATGCATGAGCCTTTGCCTTGCAAGGGACTTAAGAGTCAAGGAGAGGTTGACACTGGGTGAGGACACCATGACCTTGGGGTCTGCCTCAAGAAGACGGCTTCCGATGATGAAATCGTCTCGCATCTTGATTGGCATTTCAGGCAATTCCGGATCGATCATCTCCTGAAATTTGATCCCCAAAGTGCCGCTTGTCAAGAGATCTGCATCGCTCATTGAGGTGCAGAACTCATCAAAGGCCACAAGTGCCTCAAGCTTCTGGCTTCGTTGCGATAAATGTTGAGAGACACCATCGGCCCATGACGGCAAATCCAGTGTGGTGTCCCAGTCGCCCATGTCTAATGCCCAGGAGTCCCATGCCTGTTTCATTGCCTCCTCTTCTGACTCCAACGGATCATGGCAGGTAGCGATCAGGTTACGGCCAATCCAGCCCATGCCCTTGCAGTAAGTGTCCTCACTCAGCACTCGTACTACATCGCCGTTCTCGTCTAGGTCAGTCCCTTTGGGCCATCGCAGACAGAACCAATCAAATCCTCCCTTGCGATCCCCAACCCCGATCTGGCACCAGTAGTTGAGCTCTGTTAGCGAGGACCTGAGGTCGTTATTTCTCGACTTGTACAAGGCCTCAACAGCTGTACGTCGTAGAAGGTGACCTTCGTTAGCTGCGGTGAGAAGACAAAGGTCGACAGCAAGATCTATGGGTGGAGGTGTGAATCGGAAAATGCCATGGAGGTTGAGGCTCTGGAGAGGCACCAGGCTTTCGTCGTTACAGGTCATGATGAATGGTCGTTTCGATTGTGCCATCATTCCCATCAGTGTTGCCCAAAATTGCTTGTCTTCTTCGTATAAGACGTCAACTTCTTCCAGCAGAATTAATGACTGCTTCTGGCTCTTAGCCGAGCTGGCTTTCGTTGTCTCGGGCAACTTCTCCTCGGCGAGTTTCTTGGCTGGTGTTTTAGAGCCTCTTGAATTTTGGAAGAAGGCTGTCATCATGCCTTGCTTCCCTGACTTCAAATCCTGGGATACCTCATCTTCCTCCGTCGTTCCAGAACCAGGATCTGCGCGGTGTTGCTGAACAAGGTGGTTCCGTGTCATGTCGCCAACCTTCTCCAAGATATCCTTGCCATTTCGTCTGCTTGCAGAGTTGATTTCGAAAATCTCGAAACCCAATTCTTTGGCTATTGCGTAAACAGTCGCCGATTTGCCGCTACCATGAGGACCACTGATAACCACGGCATTGGTTAGTCTTGTCTGGTCCTTTCCAGCGTCGCCATTTCGAACCACTGTCTTCTTCAGTAATACTGAGCCGGCAGGTGCCCAATCGTCATCGTTTTCAGAGATCTCGTCCATCTCGTTCGCTTCCTCTTCGCTGCTGACAATAAAATCATCCAGCTCATCCTTCTTTCTCTTCTTTTTCGGTGCTGCTTTTATTTTCGACTTTCCTTTGGTTGCAGTATTATCGGTTGTTGTAGTTACAGACTGAACTTTGAGCGTTTGTAACCAGTCCCTCAGTAGAAGGGCCTCTTTTCCAGCCTGAAGGATCTCTGGTGCTGCAGTTGGAGCGTACTTCTGCGTCCAGGCCAGAGATTCACACGTTGATCTATCATATGCAGAAAGGCTAGTCTCAAGCATTTCGTATAAGCGACTGACGGCGGGGTGTGTTCTTGCAGCGACCTCGGATGTGTCGCCCATCATCACATCGTCATTATCGATGATGCTCGCCAGCCGTAAGGTTCTGAGCTCTGAGCGGACACGTTTTTGAAGTTTTCGTCCACTTTCGAAGTGCCGGGAGGGGGTTCGTAATTCCCTAGGCGCGGGTTCAAAGCTGTCGTGATTCCTAGGCAGTGATTCTCGGATAGCAGCAATATCCATATTGGCACAGAACCTGTTCAGCACCGACTCATCGGGAGTGATCGTCACAGTAGAGCCCTTGGACTTTTTGTCCATATGCTTCTCGTGTGAAAATGATGTAGAATCAAGTTCGAGGTCAAAACCACGAACATGAGCCATTCCCTTCGCTGGCCACAGAGGCTGCATAGCCCCGGGCACCTTGGTTACGCCTGTCTTGACGCCAAACCGTGGGGGTTGCCTGCTCACGATAAATGGATTGCGAGGCTTTTTCGGAGACATTGGCGTGGACATGAATACAGTCTGTCGTGCCGAAGATAACTGCCCTTTGGAAGCAGATTGGCATTCCGTTTTCGTGTTCTGTTTTGCTTTCCCAGCAAAGAATGGGTGTGTAGTCTTTGAGATGTTCTCGATTTTGGTTATACAGTCCTCTTTCGACCTCCTTCCTCGTCTCTTTGGTGGTGTTGGTGAAAACAGTATCTTGCCTTCCAGGATCTGGGTTATCTTATCCCCCATATCCTTTCGGTTGGCATCGTCACGTCCATATTTCATACACACTATGCGAGATGGAGGGCTCTTCGATTTGGGCTTTGGGGGCGATCCTAGTGTCCCCGTCTTCGGGTTCCATTTCAGTACTTTGCCCTTCACATTGGGATCCGTATTGCTGGAAGGATTGGATTGTGAAGTGGCCTCGATGGGTTTTATATGTGCGTCGTTCGTCGGTTCGGTTTCCGGTTTGGCAGAAGCGGGCTCCGTAGGCTTGATTCCAAGACTCTGCTCAATAGTCGCGTTCGAGTTGCTCGAAGCTGCATCGCCCTGACGTTTTCGTCGTGGCTTCTTCGGTCCAGGCGCATCGTGTGGGAGGGTCGCGTCGGCCTTTCGACGTTTTCTACCGTTTTGAATTTCTGGTACGGGCTCAGCATCTTCGTGGGGAGTTTCACAGCCCGAAACTTTAGGGGATGGTTCTGAGCTGTTCGGGAGATTGGCAACGTCGGCAGCAGGACCTTTAGTAAAGAAAGGATGGACTTTCTTCACCTCGGGTTCCCTCATGCCTTCCTGGGCCATCCTTTCGACCAAGACCGATCCCATTGATGCGTCAAAGGCTGCGAGAGTTTCGATGTCAGCATGCAATGAGCTGGTGAGATCGATGTCCTAAGCACCTTTAAGTTTAACGTTAAACCACCATTTCACGAATGTAACACCGCAATATGGATTCTCAAGATGGCTGAAAGAAACAAAATAAAGTCAAGTCTTATAATAACAGAGAAAAGATTCCAATGCGAGGCGTGCCTTTGTCTTGATGCGAATGAACTGAAAGCGTTGCCCGTGGATATAGTTGAATAAAGAGCTTAGCCAGGGTACGCGTTAATGGAAATAGTAGAAACCACTGAACGCGTCGATTCGCGCGCTAGGTACGTACCTTCTCTTCTACGTCAGGGATCACTTTTGGTGGCAGGTGTTTGAGACCCCACTGATCCCGCCCCACCGCCGGAATTTGTTTCGGCCCGCTCCAACTTTTTTTTTGTGAAGCTTCACCTGTCGATCGGCAGAGGAAAAAGTGCAGGTCGAAAGTCTAGATACAACGAATTGTATCTCTTTCAGCCCACGGCATAACTCAGCATTACAGTACCGTAGTCGCCATGGCTTCCGAGTATAGAATACACAAGCCATTTGTGCTGGCGACCCTCCCCCGGCCCTTAGATCACACTGAAGGTCGCATCGTTGCGCGGGAGGTCTATGGTTTGCGCGATGGTCAGAAGAAGAGAAAGAGGACAGAACTGGTCGTTGGTGTAGATGGAGAAACTATTAGCATCTACGATGTATGATTTCCTCATCAGACTTTGGGTAGGCTGTTGCTGACTTTACGCAGATTCCGGCTTCAAGATTGATCACTTCTTATCCTATCCCTCCTCAAGAATCTTTTACCTGCGCTCCTTACTCTGTCAGAATTCGACGAGCTGGAACCAACGACGTTTCTCGATACACATATATCTCTACTCGCGATTCTACAGGCCAAAAGATTACTTTGTTTAAGGATGTTGTCCACCAGGATGGCAAGACTACCTCTACAACGACCGCGTCCCCCGTTCTCAAGACTTCAGCTGTTCGATACTTGACATGCTCTTCCAGTGTATTGGAGACCTCTAGTACTGGTGATGTGATCGCAGTCTGCGAGAACGGAGAGTTCATTTCACTTTCCTCCGAGACCCTTGCGATCCAGTGGACCTCACCCTCGAAGTCCGCATTGCA